GGATTCTTTCTAGCGATATGGCAGATAGCTCCGTAACGAACTTTGCTAGATGGTTCATGGCCGCGGCTAGTGCGGCTTCAGACATTAATACCATTCCTCCAGAACATGGAACCGGGACAGTTGACAGGGGCACACACCGTTTTCAGTCCGTCTGTCAGGGGTCACCGCAGACCCTCTCAGTTGCAAATCACACCTCTTCCGTCGCGTTCTGGTTTATCACCTAACAGTAGAAATTTGGATATTTGTCCCTTGAGATCGGCATCGTTTTTCGCCGCTGCCATTGCGTCTCTCCTAGACCTTCCTAAAGACAGAAGAAGGTATATTTCCAAGGCAGAATATGTATTGCCGTCGTAGAGAAGGGCTTGGCAACTACTGTCATGCCCAGGTAAACAGGCTACCTAGCAGAGTTCCAAAGGTGGATCCTTAAGTAGCCCATTACAAAATACCGTGAGCCAAGCAAATGAAAATGCATCTTTTTGTAAAAATGAACAAATTTTGCTCGTATTTTTTACCTAATCCAGTAACAAATAAACCCTCAGTATTTAAAAGCATTTAATAAGTCCAATAGTCAACTCTCTGGTATGCAAAACCAAATTCCTTGGAATAGATCCATTCAATTTGGCTTTGATTTGTATTGTAGTGTTTCCAGGTTGAAATCTCATTTTCGACATAAGAAATATCTAGTTTAGAATCTTCTGTTACATCAGTTTATATGTACTCTTGCTAAGTGGCCTGACCTCCGGGCCATGGCGGTGGTCGCTTGGGCACTTCTGTAGGTCTGTAGGTTCTATGTCTTCTTTCGTTTTCAGGGAAGCGTAAGGACGCTACACATTCTCTCTTTCAAAGAAGTGTACCTGAGACTCACTAAATCAGTGGTTAGCCGTACTTATTGCCAAAGCCCTCAAGATAATCAAGACGTAGCACATCTGATGAATGCTGAGTTAATTACCCACATAGGTAAACTTGTACGAGACAAATTTTTGCAAAAACTAAACTGTTTGCCCAAAATAAGGGAGAGAAATTATAGCGACAACTCTTTCAGCCATCCCGACAACTCCTCTATCATACTCACTCCCTTCAAAGGATTTCGGACATTCGAAATCTTACCTTATACTTCAATGACAATCATATCCATGTAGGAGACAGTGATTGAGCGAATTATATATTAAGCGAATTCTTACTGACCTACGCTTGTAACGACATGTCAAGACATGGCATAATACTTGCAATAGTGTATGTGCCGCGCCCACATTAACTGGAGGTTAAGACATATCATCTATGAAGTCACGTAGTACGGACTCAAAGAGGTAAATAACGTTACTTTCCATGTGCATTCATAAGCATAAGCAATGCCCATGAAAGCTGCATTCATGCCCCTATGACACTGGCCAACAAATTGGCTCACCTACTTACTTACTTACTTACCTGTCTATGGGCATCACACAGGTTTTTGGCTCTTATCGAATGTGGTGTTTTAATAATCGCAAAATTTGTGAACCAATTGCTTCACACCGGACACCTATCATTCTGCCTCGTTGACTAAATTTACCCTTACCGAATCAGTCTGTCCGTTCGAAGAATTTGAAGGCCAGAAAGGAGGAGACGAACGAGGGTTCTGTTAAAAACCAAATTTGGGCATTTTAAGACTAATCAAAATGCTAAACCCCTCAACACACTGCAATTTGAAGAGCGAAGAAATTGAAACCACTTCGCGGTCTTTGAATGAGGAGTCATAGTGCCAGAACGCCACAAGGTTCTTTTGAGTGTGCAATATTGAACTGTCAACGTCTCATCTACAATCTGTTGAAACTTGTTGGACTAACGTTTCCACGTGCTGCGGCATTCCGTTTACCCACATCATTAAATGGACAGGAGAGGTAGACACAAAAGCGTATTCCCACGAAATAAAAACAAACCCCGTTCCTTATTGAATAGCTCCTCTTTTAGGTTAAATGATGGACATACGTGATGTTCCGCACATTCCCTCTTCCTCCAACACAGTTACCAAACAGGACGAAACTCCATACACAGCAAAATTTTCAAGAAGCGTCAGTGGTGTGACAATCAGACGTCTTCTCAGTTGTACGTAATTTTAATGACTAGTGCGGTTGGTTCGTTGATGGCGTTTCCACAGCATCGACTACGCTGAGATAGCCGACGCAAGAGGTTGTCCAGGGTGACGAGAGTCTAAAAGGAGAAGCGGGCTATGTACTACTTCGATTGTTCGTTTGATTCTCGATTCTCTTTTTGTACTTTCGTTAATCGGCATTTCCTCCTGGTCATAACAGTAGCTCTCCAGCCATTCCGTACGTCCACACTGCATATTCTTTCGTCTTCAGAGAAGTCTCGAGACGCTTGACTGCACATTTCTTTAACTGTAGGAAAGGGAGAAAAGTGTGTGAAATAAACTCACTGAAAATGGTTGATAACAGCATCCAGAGCCATAAGTATGATGCACTTAAGTCCTGTCTACGCCACTAAAAAGTAAAACTTAACAATAGGATAATTAGGCACTTCCCACATGCCGTCGATCTATCATCATATAGTCAGAGGATTCGTAGATCTAGCTAAACCTCGTATTAAAATTTAGACACTTGTTAAACATTTGAATTCGAGGACTGTAAAGGACAAGAACTAATTCCTGTGACCACCCACAAAGTCAACTTTAGCGTATTTTTTGCCTTTATAAAAACTTGACTAAAGTAAAGTCAATTTGTGATCTCAATGTACCCATGAGAATTCTGCCTTTTTGATAAAAATCCTCATTGTGGTCAGCAGGGTTACGGGAACAATGCAAGTGGAATTGACAGCTCTCATACCTTCCGATGAATACTTCCTTGACTTGGAGTGATCATACAATACGTTGGTTGTTTGTTTAACTCTCATTCCTGGTAAATGGACCACTGTACTTCCACCGGGTGGTTTGGCCTCTGGGCCACGCTAGTAGCCTCAAGGCCCTACTGTGTCGAACATATGTGTATTCTTTAGCACCTCGGGACCGCCTTGGAGACGAATAGGGGCTAATGACGGCCCGGAGACCAGACCACCCGACGAAGTTACAACGGCCAGCACACAAAGCAGCCCTTTACCAAACCCAGGAGTTAAACAACCAGTGTATTACAAATCCACCCGAGTATTATGTCTTCTTTCATCCTCAGATAAGTGTCTGGGCGCTACGTTTAAAACTGTTAAGTGTAGATGAATAAATTTTAGACTTTAATATGGCGCTCAATTTTATCTTCATTTATTATATCTTCCAAGTTAACTGATCTCCTGCACTGAATAAGAAGTCTGGCAGATAAACTTTTTCCTCCTCTATTTGTCAATCTGTCTTGACATTTTAACGGGTCTTGAGAAAGGTAATACTTTGTATTCAAAAGTGTTCGCTCCATTGCTTAAAATGTGCCGCTAAAATACGCTTGAAGTGATGCTATTCAATGAATGCTCTCCAACTTTGGATGAACACACAGACACCCACTTACATGTGCTTAAATATGAGTTCTTTTACTATATCAGTGCTTAAATGTCCAATTTTGACCTCAACAAATAAAAGACAATGAGGTGAATTCTAAGACTAGTGGAACAAGCGTGACGTTTTAAATAAATTACTTCTTTGTAAACCGAGTCCTCCGAGTACAAATAATCATCCGCTTCAAGCACGAACAACCTTTGCCTAGCCAATGGTTGCTTTGTCGTCTAAAGAAGATATAAATTATGCTTTCGGAGATGTCTTGATAGCCTGTTTAACCCTTTGTCTGATTAGGCAGGTGCTTAAAGCTTTGCAGATGGTACTTCCGCTGGGCAGCTAGGCTTTCAGACCGGACCAGCAGCATTTCAGTACTTCTCTATGTCAATGCTACATTTTCTGCCGTATAACTGCGACAGTTTATGACTTTAGGAAAGACTCGAGGGCCACACTGTTGGCAGTGGCAAACGAGCCCAATCCTAAACGACAGCTACCCTAATTTTTACTGCTAAATACTAAACCTTAACGAGAGCGAAAAATGACATCCGTCTTTGATGAGAAAATCTATAAGGACACTTAAAAGAATGGTTGAAAATGATTCCATCTTTGGCAACTACCCCCAGTCCTGTGCTCTGCGGGAGTTCTGTTGTAGACTGGACCTACACTAGCCGTGAACTATCTGGTAAAGTTCGTGATGAATCCGTCCACGGCACCTAAATGAAGATGCCAATTAAGTGAACACTTGATATTTTATCCACCTCTCCACTAGCTGGATAAATCCCAGATAGACTTTTTAAGTCAACGCACTCACGACTAGCTATGGGCGTACAAGATGGCCTGCACATACCCTCTTTCTCTTCTTCAACAGTTTTTTCAAGCGGAATGAGACTTAAAATCCAGATCCGCTTGACGGTATGGCCTCCGAGGTCATGCCAGTAGGCTCTCAGTTCTTCTCTATGTCAGTACTACATTTTCTGCAACTTCCTACTACTCCAGAAAGGACTCGATATGCTACATTTCGACACTCATCAACATTTTAAGCAAAATATTTTTTTTAAAGCTGATTAACTGCAACCAAATTTCACACTAACAATCCAATGCCATGGTTGTACTACATACTTGTAAGCACTTAAGGGGTAAATAAAGCAGGTGCCATCAGGATGTGATCTGTTCTGACAGTTATCCTGCTCCATTATGTACATTTGGATTTATGTTTTTGCGGTCATGCATCACCTCGGGCTTTTTTGCCCCCCAAGCCAATTTGCGGACAAAATTGATGCAAAGATGTACTGTAGATTAAACAACCCTTCTTTAAAAGACTACTTTGATCTGTTTTTTGCGACATTTTTTCCTTTCGAGTAGACTTATCGTCTCCTATAAACGGAGGGAATTCATTGATAACTATGTACTTTAAAATTGCTTAACTTACTAAAGTGGGAACAAATTTACCTAGTAAAATATTATGTTCCCATAAATGGTACACCGCTAATTGGTAGAGATATCACCATTGCTTCTCAAATTCCCACGCAGGCATATGTATTCAACATGTAAAAAGGCTAAAAGTAACGTTTTTCGTGGTACAAGAGTAAAAATTCCAAAAGTATTGAGTTATTTTAGAAGTTGACAAAAAATAATGGGAGTATTTTCACCCCGATTGATTAAATATGCTTAGATAAGTGTCTATTAAAGCAATTGAAAGGACACAAGGGAGCTTAAAATTAAAAATTTTGAGTAAAATATTTGTTTTCGCTTTTTAGTTTTACCTTTAAGAAATCTGGAGCATTTTAGGTTCTTCAGACTTTTTTTGAGCTATTTATGAAGGTAGTTCTCGAGGTTAACTTTAATTGAAATAGGGAGATTTTCTATTACCCTTGGATTAAATCGGTTAACCAACGTTGTAATAGACATTTTTGCTTCGTTAAAGCTCTCCAAATGGTTATTTGTTTCGTTGCTACACCGTTTCATTGATTACTTCAATGAGCATAATTAGGTATTGTGAAGTATAAAGCAGACCTAATAAAGGCATATTTTCATGCAAGTGATTGGTAAACTGTCAAGAGGACATAAATAGAATAAATAGCCACGATTAAACACACTAGATATCAACGCAAACCTAAGTAAATATGGTCTAATTTTAAAGTCTATTACCATGTTGGAAACGAAAGCAATCTAGAGCCTTTCGTGCTGAACAGGAGTAGACAAGTTCACGAGGATTCGCTCAAAGTAAGAAACTCTTTGTTAAAGGCTAGGAAGCGTAACAGTCTCAGTGTTTTTCCTCTTCTCTTTCTGCTTTGTTGGGTATGGGTTTCATGATTTGAACATGGTCGGGGTACGTCTTCTCAGAGACCGATGGTGTCCGAGCTGTTACGAATTTGTACTTACTGACCGTCTCTAGCCTGAAATACACATTCAAACAAGTATGCCATAGAGAAGTATCAGTAAGAACCCATTAAATCTCTAAGACACTCTAGCTTTCCGCTGTTGATAACGGTAGGGTCATCGGGGCGTTTTGTGAGAGAAACTGTCTAATGACAAGGCCTTGGCATTCGTGCAGTCGCCTACACTGTTTGACTTATTACTTCATTGCAGATTCGACTTACACCTCATAAGAGCACAGTGTTCTGTTAAAATTTTAATCTTCTTGCTAAATGACATTATTTTTTACAGTAATCATGTTGGTGTGCACATTTGGGTTTGGCTCCGAGCCATCTTCTGAGATGCGGTCTCTTGTACAAGTTTCCAATGAAGTCCAAGTTACCATAGCACCTCTAAATTGAAGCAAAAGATCTGGGTGTAATTTAAAAGTTAACAACTGCATATATTTTCATTCCATAAAGTGATATAACATCAAACAGTTACCAGGGTGCGTGAACCCGCCCACACTAGTGACCAACGTAAAAACGATAATTAAATTTTTACTATCGTTAAGTTTAGAGATACTTGAATTAAAAAACTGCCTTTAATAACAGTAAAAGTGATTAATGGTGAGAATTGTTATTTGTTCAATTGATGGGATTAACAGAAGATTTTGGTTCGATGAGGTTCTACTCTACGGTCTAATTTTGGCCGACATATATATCGATAAATATCAAACACTCTCTGTTAAAAGACCCTTTGTTGTCCTACTATGTCTGGAAAATGCTTATTTACTTAGCGGCTTGCCCGTACTATACGTTTATTTGACTGGAACTTTTACAAGAGAAGGGGTTATTATATGCAAACCTCGTGGCTGAGCCGACACTCCTGATCGCGGATGAGGAAACTACCTTCAAATTCAAACATAACTCCTGATTCCTGCACACTTTTATGACCCTTTTCTAATAAAAGATGTCCTTCTTCGACCAGTCAGCTCGTTTCAAGGGTACAAGGGCGTAGGTGGGAGAGGGAAAGGCTGAAACCTTTATATGGTCTGCTCAAACTTGTACTGGTTAGAAAAGGAGTAATTCTGTGCATTCTTTCCCTCTATAATGCGTAGAATCAATGGGTTAACAGTCCAAGAGTTATTAGGCATGGACAAAAATCTAACTCCTGGTTGAGTACCCAATCTGTAAAATGCATAAGTCCAAACCGTGATAAATTTCTAACCAGAGGTATGTTAGAATGATGCTCTTCCATTTTGCAATTCTGAAAAATCTGAGAATTGGCGCGGACAGCTTCGTATTAAAACTGCACATTTTTAAGCCTCCCATTGTTCTCCAACTTTTATTCCAGGCAAGGTGATGGTGAGCCGTATAATAGCTCTTCATGGGGGCAAAATATTTCACACTTAACTTTGAGTCTCGAGATTACCCTGTAGACGAAGGAAGACACAATGCTAGGGCAAGATATGTATTGCTGATGCACAGAAGGGCTGGAGACGACCGCCATTGTCCGAAGGTCTTGCCCACTAGCGAAGTAGCAGACACGGAGTTTTAGGTGCCCGCGAGACCTGAAAAGAAGTGTTAAATCTTTTTCCATACGAACCAAGAGACACACTGTTCTATGATAAGCACCACATCTTCTTCATCCGGTTCCAAACTTTGACGACTCTTTTGAGGATCTAGCCCATAATGGGGGAAATAAATACTCAAATATCTTAAGTAAAAGTATTCAGTTTTACGAAAAATTATTCAAATTAATATGTTACCAGTCAAAATCCAATACAATAGAAGTGGCGTAATTGGGAATGTTGATCAGTGGAGTTTAAATAATTTGGTTTCTATTTATTCACCTATCAAAGAAAAAAATGTAAAGGCTCAGAGATGAAGAAAAAGCAAATGAGGGAGACCTTTCTACAGTTTTGCCTTAGTGAAATTTTACCGTGCAGGCATTCCTGATAGCCGCCTTAATGACTGCATTTTCTCCCACTCCCTCCGCCATCGGTCCCGGTCACTCATGCAGACCTCTAGGGCTACTCCAATCCTTTATGATTTTTTAAAAAAGGGAAGTGCCTTTTGCTTTACAGTATAATTTGAACGTTGATAAGGAGCAGTACCGATCTGCATCCAGAAGCTGCATACTTTTGTGTTGTGGCTGCAGCGACACCTCATAAGCAACTAAAACCGCCTCCCTGATGGAAGAGAAAGCAGTCAAATTGACACCACACAGTTATGAGAACCTATTGGATATAATGTTTAACCTGGGTAAATAAAACTTGTCCACAAGACCGTGTTTAGTGTCTATCAGACGTTTCCTGAAAGATATCAACACGACAAGGCACTCAGTGACAGCACATATGTATATCTCCCCTGGGCTTGAATTAACCTTATCACGACAGGCATGATTTAAAGCCAGTCTTCCCGAATGTATTCCAGAATATCAACTTTCATTGGAAAATTTGTCATCAGTAGAGAGGTTGACTGGAGGTCATCCCCTGTTCTCTCAAATCATGGACAGAACTTCAAAGGAAACACATCATCATCACATAATAAAGCTCCCAAAAGGTCTTCCAAATGGTAAATAAGGTAACGTGTGTGGTGACTTGCAGCCTCATTTGTTTTCACTAGCCCTGTCCATTGTCTGCATTCTGCTTAAGGTTCCAGCCAATTGCCATAACTCAACGGCGACAATGGATTTAGCGTTATTTTATAATTCCCTAAATATAAAGCTTAAACAATATCTATTGTTTAATCATGTTATTTTGGGTTCATTATTACCGGTAATAAAGACCTATTAGTAAGCCGCTATACGAAGGTCCTCTTCATTGGGCTTTTATGTATATACACCTTTGGCGTCAGTATGATTGGCCAAGGCGGATGAGTCCAATGGCATGAGAAGGTGGCTAATTTAAACGAATGCAGACACTCACGCACACGCACACATTAACGGGCGCAATATCCTATCCCCTAGAAATCCCACCTGGTCACTTTACCCCATAACTATCTCACTCTCCCTCCTTCTCTCTCTCTCCGTCTCACCCTCCCAACAGCGTTTGTAACAATCGCTAAGTTTGACTGTCCCCTCCCTGCGCCTTTTTGCAGCCCGTCTGGATATGTGACTCGTGAATGATACCTCCTGAAAGGATATAAATCGGTAAGACGGCCTCACTTTGTCTTGACTCAGTTAAAGACCTTACGCTGCAGTTGGACACCTGGGGTGTACTCACTTCATATTTTGGTAGATTAACTTCACTTTCCCTGCAACTCTTTTTGCACCAATTCCCAGGGAATTGGAGCTCTGTAATTATTCACATTTTTTGAAGTTGCCCTGTAATTTGAGTTCGCGTTTAACTACCATGATGTGCGGTATGTACCCCGTTAAGTTGAAAAAAGCGATTCTTCTGGCATGCGTATTCATTAAAAAGGCATTGAATACTTATCTTTTCCTTTATTGTAACAAGCATCCATGCACACCTTGTAATGTAGTATTAGAAGAGGTGTCTACTCTGTGTCGATGGCATTTCGCCTTGAATGGCGAGTCCCAGTGACAAGCACATGCATGAGGTTGCCTACTTGATGCGGTGAAATAGAATGCGCAATCAAATAGCCATCTATTCATTTTTAAATGAAAAAATATATATATATTTAGACTTTTAATTACCAAATTTAAGGGATAAAACGCCCTTCAGTGCGAGTTTCGATTGCGAGCAGGAAACACGCCTGAGAGTAGATTAAAAGAAAATTTGGCTGAAATTGCACTTTAACTTCACAAATACAAGGTGTAGAGGATTTTTTAGGTAAATTATGTATTTTTACCCCTTTTTAAGTAATCAAGGCCGAATGCTATTTTCGCAACAATATTTAAATGTAATCGGCCAAGCGGTGCGATCGTTCTCACCGACTGTCAAAATAGACTCCAGATTTTTTCTAAAGACCTATGGAATGTGTTCTGTTTTATTTCCGATTTTGCAGATATTTTCCAAATGAGGAGAGGTGACCTATTTCCAGAAATTTGTCTTTTGGTGTGCCATTGTAATTGAATGTGAAATTTTTTGGTCCCGCGGATGCAAGAATTCAGGTGCCAGACTTCAAGGACCATCCATGCTAAACAGAACCACATTGCATTCAAGTGATTTGAGACCCCCAGAAATTTATCAATTGTATGACAAATGATATTAAATGGGTATGAATTCCTCTCCCTGCACTTAGAAAAGGTGAATTTTCCAAAAACGTTAATTGACACTATGTCCTAGTCATAGCAATGGGGAAACTTCCGACGTTTTAAAAAGTGTACATACATACTGTAATTACTACAAAAGGCAATGAGCGCAAATTTGTTTAAAATGCAAACAAATGTTTCGGCAGACTAACTTAATAAAAATCAAACCAGTTTTTTTGCATGTTTTTTACTTATCTGATGTCTTATCATTTTCTTGAAAGATAAATGCCGCTGAAATCGTTTAAAAACTGTATTTATTTCATAACGTATATTGAAAATGTATGCATCCATATTTTACTGCTTATTTTATGTCTGGGATTTATTTGCTCATTTGTCTTGCGGTTTATGAATTCATTGAAATTATTTTCGATTTTCAACTGTGTTTAGCCTCGCATTTGTCGCATATAAAGAATTAAGAATCAGAACTAAAAATGCTGCTCTTAATTTACGAATTCCTTATTCGCAGGATCTACAGCTACATGTTGCTGTCATTGAAGAATATTCTTCACATAAAATTTCCTTTTGAGTCCCCATTTCATTGTCTCCTGTCTCTATGTAGTTTTTAACTTACCAGTTGCTGTAATACCACTGTTTGCCCCTGTCATAATGCTTAGAAATGCTCCACAAGTGTTGCAATTTTCTATCTGTATGCGCCGTCAAAGGCGCACTTGGCTTTGATTTCAACTGCGCAGAGACCGTCTATAGCGCAGGCTCCTGACCTCCTCCCTCTCGCATTCCGCACAAACACCTTTCAGGTGTGGCGCAGAAAACGGGGAGAGGGAGGATTCGGGGTGGGTATAGTGTGATTAACCCCCGCAGCATTTTCAATACGATTAGCTGTTCGGCTTTAAAGAGAGGACACGTTTGAGAATCGTTAAGGTCCACACATTACCATGTGATAGGTCAACGACCCTGAATGTAACCCCTAAGAGATTCATAGATGGATTCAAACGTTCTTAAATAAGTTAGGATTTTGACTCGTTTTTCTGAGAATAAAGGCAAAAAATAGTTTGAAGCAGTTAACCTCAAAATTAATAAAATTACGACTTCAACTTACCAAAGTGGATTGATTCTCAACTGAACTAGGCGGTTCTGAATATGGACAAGAAAAACAGTTTGGTTTTACTTAACCAAAAATGTGAATCGTGTGGCCTTGAGTTAATTTAGTTACTTTAAATCAATACGCTAACGGTACCTCGTAGTATCAGAAGTCGCTTTCTTTAAATGAGCAGTAAATCGTAAATCTCAGCCTCCCAGAATTTGTCCTTTTAAAATATTGTTAATTTATTTATTTCAAATAACCCGTCATATAACATCGGGGGCATACAAATTAAGGGAAATGTATAAACTAGCTAGATGAACACCAGAATCTGGATTTATTTATGGAGAAAAAGACCTAATTAGCAATCCAAATGGCTAATTCGTAAAGCACTGCTTTCTGTTTGCATTCACAATTAAGTTTCGTTTCCACCACCCTGGAATGTGTGGTGTATCTGAGTAGTTCCAAAATGTATATTTATTTCGCCTGAGGGTAGTCTTAAACGCTTTTCAGCAGAGATATAATACGATAGGCATTGTCATGTCTACCTACAATTAATGAGATCAGGAATAAATACAACGTTTGTTGGGATAAAGTGAGTCATTTGCCCTTTTATTGCTCTTCTGTAAAGGAACAATAATCTTGAATTATATACTATACTTAACTTTTGTTATTGTTGCACGAATGCGAGGAATTGATTACAAACTCAGAGTGCAAATTAAAAGAACCTAAATGACTACCTTACGAGATCAAGTGCCCAACTCCTAACATTACCAAATTAAGCAATTTGAAGTTTAGCTATTCGAAGTGACAGTTGGATAAACATTGATTGCACACAAATAAGCGGATAAAATAATTTATTATTGGATCGTAAACCAAATTTTCTTATCTCCGATTATAAAAAACCAATTTTACGCAAAAAGCGGAAAATTTTGCATGAAATAAGCAGTCATATTCAAGTCCCACATCTTATGTTGACTGAGTTTGCAAATAAACTACGAGTAACAATTGATTTCTTGTATACATAAGGACTTGATTTTGTTGTTCATTAGCCACAATTATGGCCTGTAAATCTGAGGAAGTGGAAGTTATGCGCGTTGCTTATGCACCTAGTTCAACTGCGTGGATAGGAAAACACAGTTAGAACTTCGTAGCCTCGTTGTCGAAGGCACTTATCATCCCCAGCACATACACACACACACACCCAAATACAGGGCAGGGCAAAAGTGGAAAAATTATTATTGAACGTTGTGTGTTCAATCTAAATCCCCACGGGGGATTCTAATAGTTATGATCGCTTGCAGATTTTATGACACTCAGAGCTGTGTGTGCGCATATTCACGACAGATGTTCAATGACTATCCCTCTCTCGTTCCGTCTATTTGTTTGTGTAGGCCCGTTGACTCCCCTGACAGTCATCTTTCCAACTCCCTTTCTTGTCTCCGGGGACTGAACCATTAGTTAACACTGCAAGCAGGAGATAGCTCTGTGGCCTTTGTGTTCAAGCATGACTTCTGAGTAATAGTTTGAAAACCGAGGACTCTTCTTCCAGGTGGAACAGGAAGAACTTGAGTGAAATTTCTCAAAATAATACACGAGTGTTTTTGCTTTAATGACTTTGCATTAGATCGCAGTAGATAAGTTTTTTTTAATTTTGTTTTAAAAAATATTTATCATGCTATTTGCCCTTGAGCAACTTCTTGAATTTGTACTACACCAGTGATAAGCATGCATAGGCAATATTCTGCAGACAAAGCAATGCTGTCATTCCAATTATTTTCCTTGTAACGTCTTTGTGAACTAGGCTCTAGATATATCCTGGACCTTTCTCTTATGGTCCCAGCAGGGGACTTCGGAATGCATACTTTCCTCGATAATAGCGTATATAATCTTATCGCACTGAAATGAATAACTTGTTAACAGAACAGGCAACAGTTGATCGGGCACCTCCTGCATTTAGACACTTGTGTATTTGACTTTAATTGTTTAGGAGACAGCCGTGTTGTTGCATACTGATACGACCGCTAATGCTGTACTTTACTACAGGTTTTGATAAACTATGCATATATATTCAGGAAAAATACATTCCTTAAAGTATGGCCTTTTCAGTAATTTAGTTTTCAATACATTTGTACTGGATGGGAACGATAAACATCCCCAGGTTTTGCGTAATTATCCCTTTTGTGGGAAGATACATCCAATAGTACTCACCTCAGGAGACATAGCGTTCGTCTTTTGAAGGTCTTGCTTATGGATGCAAGTTTATAGCGGCAGTACTAACCCTCTAATAATTTATTCTCTTTTGACATTAAATCACGTGTCAAAAAGTATTCATAAAGGACCTCTAGTGCAAACATTAGTAATTTTGGCAGGTAATAACACCATACTTCTCCCAACTTGACATTTCAGTGATAATTGTATCATGCCTTACCAGTAATTGGCTCCTTTATCTATTAAGGGATTTAAAAAGACAGGCTTTTCATTCCTCTTGTGCTTTTTTGATGATTTGACTAAATTAAAGAGCAACACAACCCAGGCTCTGAACAAATGTCGCTTTCGTTCGCCGGTCTTGGCATTATTGTGCTCCTTTTGGAGCAGTGAAAACTAAACCCATTAATTTGGTTGTTTCAAAGCTGTAATTTTTTTATTTTTTTCTGGTATTATTCTTAAAATTTACTGGTGACATCGATAGCGCCTTTTTTAGGCCTAATATTATGGCTTTAGAAATACGAGTCACGATCTAAAACACTACCTTTTCTACGCATTTACTACAATCCACCTTCTTTTCTTGATAAAGTATGAAGTGGTTCGACACCAAATATGAAATAATTGTAAGGATTTTATCATTTTTATGCTCAATTTTTAAGGAAAACAGCCTTGTTTGGACAAGGGATTCGTGATATTCATGCGAGTGACAAATCATTTACGAGTTTTTTTCCAGTCCTTGGACTAATACCATTGAGCATATTTGGGAGATGGCATTTGTCAGTTAAAGCTATTTAGTTGTATCAAATCATGGGTGTGGGTTGTTCTTGTTCTGAGGATAATTATATTTTCCAGTTCTTAGGCAGCTTACCTTAATTAGAAGAATACAATCTCAGGGCTGTTAGGGTTGATTTTCTTTGAGGTTCCAAAAACCACAATGCTATAGATAAGAGTAAATGATTAGAGGCAAAGATTTTTGTGTTGGGGCTTTCATTTTACTCTTCCTGCACAAAACCCCAAGTCACATGGTCACTTTCATCTATTTGGATTTTTATTAGATTTTAATGGGATAGATATGCAGCCAACGGAGGAGTGCCCAAACCCATTACCTCAAGGATTCGTTCTTCCGCAATTCATTCCGCTCACGCCCGAATCCGTGAGACTGTCATTGCAGCGATACCAGCGACAGAAAAGACGTGAGCAGAAGGCCAAGGAGCTTCAGAAAGGTTTCCTGTTTTTAGTTATTCATCTAGCCCAATATCACTGGAGAGTTCACGTTATTCAATATTCAAATTATTTCATGAAAAAGATTGAAATGTCCCTCCCGTCAATTAGTAATTATTTACGTGAGGAGGCCAATAAGTGGATTTAAGTAGTAATGACCAGATAATGAAACTCAGAAATTTTGTGTCCTCTATTTAATTAAGATGAGCATAAACTGTCTAAAGGGTTTGCTCAGGGGGTTATTTTTGCTTAGTGAGGGCTTTTTACAGCTTCTCGTGTTTTTATATGTCTGCGCATTAAATTTATAGCAACTCTATGTAACTACATTGCGGCCGAATTGTTTTGTGTCGGCTGACAATGAGACCATGCGAAACAATGAGATAGGGATTGTATAACAACATTTCAGCAGTTCAGAATGGTATTGGGCCGAAGAGATTGTTATATTGCTGGTTAACCTTCAAAGTTAGGTTGAAAGTTGATGTGTTGTCGCGACAGACATCGGGGCCGTCGGAGGTGGATTAATGGGCGCATGAAAACAATTGGCAGTAGAAGTTGCCTTTTTAATTTCGATGATGATGAATTAAGAGTACCGCATCCAACCCTGTAATAATAAACGGCATCATTTCTTTGACAAATTGGAAGTTATATAAGGCAAATTTTTTGATAACGCTCGGGCTTTAGGTTTTAATTGCTCCACTACCTTCATTCTCTGTCCTGAAAATGATGTGCGCTCTCACCAATGTAGAAGTTGCACCAACCCTGAGAATGCATATTTGAGAGTATTACGCAAAACTTTCCTAAACTATACCCTAAAACAAGCGTCATTTCAAGTTTTGGCAGCATAATACTAATTCACCAGGCCATTTATAGAAATTTGCCGTCCCAATTCAATCGGAGTGTTGTGTGCTCTGTCTAAGGACAGCGTTAGATGTTGATTTCTAGGTTGCTGTCAAGGAGTTAGAATTTGTAACGTATCCTAAAAAATGATAGCATTGTTTCATATGGATTGTAACAATCAACGGATCATTACCGAAATAACCTTGACTAACTTGTCTTAAGGAAGTCTGCAACCCAGTTATTAAATCAAGAATTTCTCTCTAGAACAAAAACGAAAAAGGAAAGAGTGGAGGAAAAACAAGGCGAACTACGACAGTGACAAATCCGATCCAGAAAGCGCTTCTTTTGTTCGTCCAGCGTTGAATCCCGTGGAGGAAGGCTTGCTAGACTCCACCTCCGAGGAAGAGGAGGAAAAAGATTTACCTGAAGTGCCATCACGGGCCAACCCAATGCTTGCTACTGGAAAGAAACTTATTCCACCGTTGGCTAAAAAATTCTGTGCAAAAAGATACACGGGTAAACCTTTGCAGGAAATGGACGACTTCTATCGGTACAAGAGGGTAAGCTCACCTAAATCATATTGGATGCTTTTGACTGCATGACTTATTATATTGTACCATTTTGACTTATAGTAAGCCAGAGGAAAATAAGAATAAGCAAAATTTGACCCGATTTAATTTGCAGTTAATTGGATTTGTTCAGAAAGCAATAATCTCATCCAGTCAGTATTTTTTACTGGTAGCTACTCATTAGTCATCTACAATCAGAATGATATCAAATCGCATCTCCTCCATTGCTTCCAGTCTATTTAATCATTTTTTTAGAGTTTTGTAGTGATTAGCAGTGACCGAACAATTCACAGACTCAGTCTATCACCAGCTCTTTTCATATTTGGACCTTTCAGTTCAATTCGTCGGGTCGCAATATATATCATGGTTCATCCATATCCTTTTCAAATGTCTAATCACACATTCTTGTTTTAATGAGCTTCAGTAGATTTACTTGACTAGCCAGAAGGTTTTAAAATTGACCTAGGCCATTGTCCTCATGAAGGATCTCCCTAATCTTATTTAGAACAAATTATGATGAGTTTATTTGATTTTAGTGGGTCTGCAGTTTGTTCTCAATTTTCCACATTTGTAGTTATTTGTTAATAAGCCCAAATTCTTCAACATTTTTCCAGATTTGTGTGTTGATGACCAAACAAATGAATTTTCCTTAACCGTGAATACCTTAAAACACATTGTTCAGCATGCTGATTTTGTCAGCAATTCTGGCAAATTGTGTATTCATGGCGATGAACGATTCTTCCAAAACAGTTGAGTAAGTTTTCTTATGGTTACTTAATCCTAAAACTCATTTCAGAAATCACAAACAATCTTTTTGCGCTCTCTGAAAAATCAAGAAACCTGATCGATCTCTTATTGTCGCCCTAGCAACAAAGTGAAATGTCACTCATATGCTAAGCTCATCATTTTTCAAAACGTTTGTCTAAACATAGCATTTGGGGAAATATTTTATGCGAATAATACCGTTTCCCTAACTTACTGATATTCCAACGAATCTCGCCACAATTTATAAATAAAATGCTAGATTAAGTGTTTGCCTATTTCAGGGTTACCTTTACGGTCTTTTACACATGCGAGGCAATTATCCGGGTAGTTGGTTGTGGGCTCATTCGGAACGAATTCGCCTACCTACGCGACGCGTGGAATTGGTTGGATTTTATCGTCATTACCCTGGCGTATGTATCCAACTCTCAAGTATCAAAGTGTTAACTGACAATAAATGTAAAATTAGGCTACCCAAATAGAATAGGGTGGCGTGTGACAATCGCACTGTTACCTTTTCCTTTAACGGTTTGAGTGGTTTTCATGCATCGTACCATTCGGAAGCCTTTTTACATAATTCTGCGTGGGCGCAAAGACGTCCTGTTCTGATGGTGGCTAATTTTGCGTCTTAGATACCTCATGTTTGTGGTCCCGTTTCTTGGCAACCTCTCAGCACTGCGTTCACTGAGAGTTCTGCGTGCCCTCAAGACTGTGACCGCGGTGCCTGGTATGATGCTTCACCTAGCTAGTATACTTCCATGGACATTCAAAAGACCAGAGAGTATCATTTCTTAAATTTCATATGACAAAGCTACGCTTTCCGGTTCAGGATGTCGTTTGCAAAAATAATATTTGAATATTTGAATATTTGAATCTTTCTCGTCAACAAGCTGATCTAAAGTTGGAATACAGCTAAATGATCGGCTAAATTAATTGCTTTATCGCATTTCTTCTTTTAAATTGCTGAAACATTTTGGGCATATACTACTTAATGTCTGGCCATAAGTAGTATCGTTGAAAATGAACCAACATTCAATAAGTGATTTGCATGACTGAAAAGCTTTCTGGGTGAAAATTTGGCACTTGTTTACAGAAATTTAAGCCGTCCCTAAATAATTAAATCTAAAATTCAACTTTTGCTAAAAATAAATCGCACTCGGTACCGTGCATCCGAAGTTTGTAGTAAAAAGTAGGTTTTACGGAAATTCAGGTCTAAAGACGATTATCGGTGCCCTAATGGACGCAGTAATGCATCTTCGAGACGTTGCCGTACTCACTCTCTTCATGCTCTCCATATTTGCCCTCATTGGGGTGCAGTTGTACCGAGGAACCCTGCTTCGAAAATGTGTCGTCCCATGGCCAGGTTTCAACACCACAGTGGGTGGGGCTCTCCTCAGTCAAATTGCCACTGATGTATACTACAACAAGAGTTTCGATCCCTACCTGACAACCGAGATTAAGAGTATCTTCAACGGAACATTTTTAAGTAAGCAGCAGAGCCATTTTCTGCTCTCCTGTACAAAAAAATTGTGTAATTACTGCCTAATTAACGTATCTATTATTTATCGAAATGTTCTTCTTTTTTTTCTGAATGGAAGATTTTACGAGCAAGATGAACGACTCGACAATGGGGAATATTGTGTTGAATGATGACATGGTGTCCCGAGTTTGGTTTTCCCTTTCCAACTACTCCAGGTGGCAAGTGACTGAATATTTCTATGAACAGAAAGGTTTGCAAATTGCAATGAAGAGTTTACAACTTTTTCTGTAACTTCCATTTAGATAATAACTTGGGATTAAATTAATAAGAATTTTTTTGCTCCACTGGCGAAGCACTTTTTGATGTGGCCAATTTGGGGATTAGCTGACTTAATGAGGAAAAGTGGAAGGCCAAGATTTTTCTCATGTTATTATTTTAGACATTTTCTTGAAGTGTAAGCATATGTTTTCTTATCAAACAGCTTTCAAACGTAGCTTGGTGATTGAAGTGTACGTCACCGAAAATTGGTATCGCAACCATTCTGATCTAGCATGTAATGTAGGGTTTCAAAAACATCTTGTTTTTAACCATTCTAATGTGTTTTCTTTTTGTTTAGTCAACTGGATGTCTCCACACATGGTCTGTCGAAATCTTACTGAGTAAGAGTGTTGCATGTCTGGCCCCGAAATTAAGGTCTCTTCGCTTTAATTTGATAAGGCTGTTGGTTCCAAGTCGAAAGAAGGCATAGCACTTCAGTAGAATATGTACTACCGACATATAGAAGGGCTGGGAGGCTATCGGCCTGGTCCGAAGGCCAATCTGTGGGGATTTAAGCGCCCGCTGAAGCAAAATGAAGAGTTAAACAATCAAGGCATTAAGATAGGATAAGAGTCAGTACATTACATTTTGGCTTCAACTAGACAGAGATGTTGGAGTCTACGTGACTCCATCGCATTCCCCCCTCCCCCCCCCAGACAGGGCTCTCAAGTCCAAATGGTTGTGATTCAAGTGAAACAGTCGCCTCACCTCCCACTCTTCCAAATTGAGACAGGCCTCAGGTTCAGACCCGCCTCAAGTGACCTCACACATTCCAAACACAATTAAGTAGATTGCTTATTCAAGTCGCTTGGTCCCCCCTGCCCCCACACGTCTTGGACGAAAGTAATTGCACAATTTCACATCTTTTATCATGAAAAGTTAGTGTGAATGTATTACTTTTCAAGGGATGGCAACAGCACCTGTCCAATGGATTTTATCTGCAAGCAGACTCGTACTGGAAATCCAAACTTCGGCTACACCAACTTTGACAACTTTGAAAGTGCCCTTCTCTGCTCCTTTCGACTCATTACCCAGGATTACTGGGAAAGTCTCTACCAACTGGTAATTTGGTCTATTAGCTTATGTTTGATGACCACTTTTCGCCGGTGCGATGCTCCATGTCATGTCATGTCACCTTCCAACTTCATCCGATTATTCACGATCCTTTGATTTCAAATTTGTCCTTTTAAGCCGTCAAATGGAGTCGTTTTGGTAACGTCTTACGTCGTTTAAGTCACAAAGGTACTTATACAGTAAAAATATGTAAAATGTATTTTCACTGTTTTCTTTGTTCTTTTACACCTTGAGGTGCTAAGAGCTAACGGTCCGACACACGTCTTCTTCTTTGGGATGGTCATCTTCCTCGGCTCGTTCTACCTCCTAAATATCATCTTGGCCATTGTCTCCATGTCCTACGAACAGGTCTGCAAACAGGATATGGAGTCGGATGCTCAACTAGCTGCTGCGATTGAAGTAAGGCCTTCAATGCCACACTCTGTGACTGTTAATCTGTAGCAAGTGTCATTGTCACTGCATCAAAATTCCCTCCCCGGGTCTCCAAGTCCCTGTCAGAGCATTTAAAAAGCAGGATCCTTAAACAGCTAGAAAAATTTGGCTAAGGCTCCGCAAGAGTCGTTGCAGTTATATTTCAAAATAAGGTTATTAATGTCATCGGAAGATCATTTTTTTCCCTCGCAATTGGAAATTATGGGAGGTACAGGCGACTGTCTGCAAGATGTTTTTAAGATCGCCAAAACTAACGATTCGTTCATTTAATTTTCGACAATTAACACATGTCTGTTTACTTTTGCCAAATGTCTAGCTGTGTGCAGAAGACGGAGACCAGGAGGCCAAAGACAGCGGTGAACCGGAGAAAGGCCTGCCTATGGTGAATGGTTGTGGATTTCACTTTCCCAGTGCTCTACGACGGCATTCCATCGCCACAACTGATGTGAGTACATGCGGTGTGCTAACTGCTTAAAATCCCTTAAACCACAAATTTAAGTCGATTTTTCTTACATGTAGACCCACCTTTTCGTTATTCAATGCCTTTTTTTAAAGAAAACTTTATACAGTGATATATTTTAAAGTTGTATTTAAACCATTGGACGTAATAGAACAAAAGGTGCCAAGTAGCTGCAGCGCCTTGCGACACCTGAAGAGGAGAGATGAGCTGAGAGACTACTTATGCGGTCCAGAGGTCATGCCACCCTGTGGAAGAACGAAGGTGGAAACTTCAGTGTCCGCGCAGATAAAGGGAAGAGTAAAACAAACAACTAAATTGCCACATAACCCCTCCCTCCCATTAATTGCTGTCCTCGGTGCTCCTCTTAGTCAATCTTTCCATGTCGGCCATCACAACGTAGTCGATGTTGTAAGGAAAATAACAGCTAACCATCCCCACTAGTCCTTGAAGCTGCCTGTACCTGAAGAGATATTTGATCCCAGCGTCAATTTTACTGGATTTGAAGTTTCGTCCTGTTTGACACGGAATGGAATGGAGTTTAAAACAGTTCCATAGGGATAAGATCGCAAGTCTATTCCTCCCTTCCACCTTGTTCTCAATTCCGTGCTGTCCAGTCCTGTCTGTCTGGGCTCTATCCAGCCAATAGAGAGGTGGAGCAGGCATCGCTTCTTCGCTTACTTGGTATCTTCATATGGGTACCATAGGCGGTGCTGTAAGGAACTTTTCCAGAGACCAGTCCAGTTACCGAAGGTTGAAGTCACTTGTAACCATTCCGTTAGAAATCGCCACAGATTCTCCAATCCGTGGCTTATGCAATGCATTCAGAAATGCAAATCAAGTTGGTTATCCTTTAGGATAGGGTTCGCTTTCCACTGTCGCCAATGCAGCGCCTGGAGACTTCGTTGAAGTCGAAAGAAGAAACAGCAACAGGGCAGAATGTACACTGCCGACCTACAGAGGGGCTGAGGGCTTACCATCATGGCCCAGAGGCCACGCCGTCCTGCGGGAGTACGGAGGTGGGGATTTGAGGACCTCATAACCGAAACGCAGCTTTAAATGAACAATCGGAGTGTTAGAGTAGTATTTATATCTCTTAAAAACCCACACAATAACACTACAGGTTTTATATTTTGACATAAATTTTCAAATAAACTTATGTTTAAGAGTAAATAGGGAGCAAAAATGGAAGCAGCCTCTACATGACAATCAGCCAGGGTCCATGGTACAATTTTGACAAATCTACAACTAAAGCTTTTTTTCCACGTGCAGGTCTACGCCCAGTTGACGCTATTACGAAGGTGGAAAAGCGATGATGTTTTATTCAACCACAGGAAAAGAGATTCACCAAGGATTTGGGATAACGCTGTTCTCTTTGTGGATGAACTCTCGATGGAAAGTGTCTCACATTGCAAGGAGCTCATCTCACTGACGTCACTTTCAAAAAAGAATTGCGTTTCTCTCGTTTCTGCCGAATTGTAAGCATTTCATTTACTTTCTCTACTGGGAAGTTGCGGTTTCAAGCCGCATGTTATCATCGCATAAAAATTTAAGTGAGAAATGTCACGTTATGAGGCTGGATGAACCGCTTCCATGTTGTTTAAACAGGGAATTTATATTTTTGCGTGTGTGTTCACGCAAAAATATGGTCGCTTAGTAGTGAGAGAAACTAACACGATAAAGGTATCTAGTTTCATCCAGTATAGCAATCCTGTTGTGTAAGGCACATTACACCCCATCTTTGCATCACTTGAATAAACCCAATTCCTGGAACCTATCAACGTTGCCATTGGGTGCAGGAGTGGTTATGGTTATTTGATGATTTTAAATAATGCATGGCATTCATGGACCAGACCAGATTGTACATATCATTAGTTCAGCCTCCTTTCAAACAGATCGGGGGACAAATTGTAGTTGGTCCATGACTGCCTCATTTTATACTACTGAATTGACGTCACAGCATTGCGTTTCCATTTCGTGGTTACCTAGCAGCGAGACTAGTCGGCAAGACAAAGGCATTTAGTCTCTTCTGATGTATTTATCCTCTTTCACAACTTACGATAAACCAAATCATTTCATCACTTGAATAAATCGGTTTAATATAACCGATTAACACTGTCCTCCGGTTTGTTGGTAGCAATGATTTTCTAATTTGGAATAATGCTTGGAATTTATGGTTTTTTGTAGGCTATCCGCATCATTATTTTGTTTTCTTTTGAAGCAGATCGAAATGCTATTTGGTGTGACTAATTTTCGCATAAAATTTGTTACCCCCTTCCATACTACTGAATTGACGTCAGCATATTAAGCTTGCGTTGCGTGAGTGCTTAGCCGTGAGATAAATTTACACGATGAAAGCGACTAATTTTCTTTACAAGGCATATTAAACCACACTTTTGCATCAGTTTAAATAAACCAACTCATAGATATTACCAACAAATCTACGTACTTTACGTATAGCTATGGTTTTTTTGGTAATTTGAAATAGTACTTGACATTTTGGGTAATATAGCAAACCTCATATACCATTTATTTATTTTCCTTTTGAAATAGGTCAACTGTGAGTGGTGCCTCCTGTCTATCGAGACAAACCAATCCAAATGGCCTTAGCAACGGCAATCCCAACGCCCTCGAAATGGGTGAGTTCATCGGTCATTAAGTATATCACTGATCTAATCAAATATGTTTTAATTATGCTAGTTATTTTGGCAATGATTTTTCATAAATTGTATACATAACTGCGAAATCCGCCCGGTCATATTTTATTATCAAGTAATAAAAAGGCAACTTCCCATAAAACCCGCTGTTCTGCATTACTTTATTCTTCCTTATTATTTCCTACTAATTGCGGTTTGTGCGAAAGCAAAGAATATATTTATTTTTTTCTGCATTGAACAATAGCGTTTTTATTTATCTGTCCATATGGTTTAGCCATTCCGCCCTCCCGCATCTGGTGGCCGGCTTGTGTCTTATGTTTTTTTCAAACGTCCCCAAAAAACAAAAAGAAATACGACTAAAATTCTCTATTAAATGAAAATCCTACACTCTATTTGCTAAATAAAATAAACTCTTAAAACTTCGCGGGGATAAAATACATGGTTTCTTAGACGCAATGCCATTTTCCATAAAATATAAAGAAAAGTTATGGTCTACATTAAAGTTAGATTTGTTTTTTTTAGCTTAATTGACTTTTATGTCATGATTTCACAAATATAGTTTGTTTTTCCTTCCAAAAGACCCAGAACAGGGTAGACTGCCCTTCAATGTACCGCATTTTGCGCTTCCCTTGAAGGAGAAAAGTGTGTATCGAAACCACACCAACTATTCTTCTTCCAGGTTCAAGCGTTGTGCAAAAGATAAATCAGACATGCCTTCACACAACAAATCGGATAAGTCGCATCAGAATTTGAAAAAATGCCTATGCTCTTGCTTATTTGGTCAGCGACGTGAGTTGCTTGAACATCCGGAGTGTTGTAAAGAGGTAGGTAAGCAATAAACCCAACTCTAAGCGTTAAAACTGCTTTTATTTATAATTAATCCTGTTTATACTTTTCCAGCTTAGTCTTCCGGCTCGAATATGTCAATACATTACTACGCAGATTGAACCAGTATTATGTGGATGGACGTGTTGTCCGTGCTACGATATTTTTCGACGCTACATCGGCTACATCATTCTCGATCCCTTTGTGGAACTCTTCATCACCATTTGTATCGTTCTCAACACACTTTTTATGGCTATTGACCAACCGGAGAAGGGAGAGACTCTGGCAGCTGTCCTTCGGATAGCTAATTATGCAAGTCTTCAGGATTAGTGTGTATTTTAAATAATTCACTCGAGTGTGTACTTTCTACACTTGTCGCGTGCATGGAAACGTCAGAGTAAAGTACCTTGACAACTTAATTGTTAACCAACCCAAGGTTGTGTTCTGTTTCCCGCTTGTAAGTGCATCTTGTTCCTTATTCTAACTGCAATACCTGCAAGGCCGTTGCGTTGGTTTGGAGGCCATGCCACAGCGTGGAAGTACACTTAAGTGCCTGCGTGATCAAATGCCGAGTTAAACAAACTACAGAAGGCTTACATTACCTCAAATCATTTTGAACAAGGCTTGACGTGTAACCTTACAATCAAGTATCCGTTTTGACCATTTTAGTTTTTTACAACAACGTTCACTGTCGAAGCATTCCTTAAATTGGTTACCCTTGGAAGCAAGGAGTACTTCGCGGACTCCTGGAACATCTTTGACTTTGCAATCGTAGTCTTCAGTCTGGTTGAAATTCCGTTAACAACCATACGTGGCCTCTCGATCCTACGTGCATTTCGATTGGTAAAGCATGAATGCTTGAGAGCAGGTCAACCGCTTTGTAGACACTCTTAACTGGTTTCCCTTCTGATGTAGCTGAGAGTCTTCAAGTTGGCCAAATCGTGGCAAACAATGAAGCTACTCTTCTCTATTGTTGCAATGACTCTAAACGCGCTGGGCAACCTAACGGCCGTCCTAATGATCTCCATTTTCGTCTTTGCGGTACTGGGAATGTCGTTGTTCGGAGAGAGTTACCACCAATTTACAAATGTTACGCGTTTCCCTGAACGATGCGGAAAAATACCCCGATGGAATTTCTGCGATTTTACGCATTCCTTCATGATTGTCTTCCGTGTTTTGTGTGGCGAGTGGATAGAATCTATGTGGGACTGTCTTGAGGTAAACGGATGGAGCTGCACGATCTTCTTCCTCATGACCATGGTCCTTGGTAATCTGGTGGTACGTGTGGGCCTTTTTAGCATAACTCATTTATCCCGTCTCAACAAGTATTTCGGAACGCAAAGCATTTTTCACTTATTGCACTTCTTCAGGTTTTACTTTCTACTCTAATAGCACCTATATAAAGGCTAGTACTAATTCTGTGCCATCAACCGAATATGTCTGAAGACACCGCAGATGAAAAATTACCGTTATTTTAGAGAAGGAAGCTAAGAATGCAAAATATATGGCATTTTTAGCAAAATTAAACCATATCGCTTCACTTTAGACCCTCATAATTTTGGCGATTATCTTTGTTCATCTTACGAAAGTCGTCAAAAAGTGGTGATTTTGCGTCAAGTTAATCAGTTTTCCACTGCATCACACGAAAAAAGGCACGATATTTTGGGTGCTATTTGAGTCAAACCGCCTTATTTTTAGAGTCTTTAGCTTATAAAGATACGTATTATTGTATTCAACTAAAAATAGTCATATTTTGTGTACATTTTATTTCCACTCGCATATTCTTAGACCTTATTTTGATAAACATATACTGGTGGCGAATCCATATCAAGTGTCGAGGTAAAAGGAGAAGATTTATTTACAGAGTAACACAAAACAATGAAGACATCCATATTTCGAGGTAGAAAAATACAGCTGAGCTCAGAGGTTACTCCTTAGCATAGTATTTCGCTAAAACAAGAGTGGTTAGCATACGTTAGGGTTTTTAACACTGCATACAATTGGAATTACTTGATAGACGACTTTTTATCCTTTTTTAAAGGTATGTGTAAAAATGACTTTTAAAAGCCTGTTTGTATAAATGCCATTTTTAGACTAATGCTGTTTCTTGGTCATGGGTAAGGTTTGGCTTGGCTGAAAATCTCACTTGAAGTCTCATTTCTAAGAGAATTAAATAACTTTCCCACTTTCAAAAAGATGATTTTACCAAAAAAACCGTTATTTTGAGTAAATGGTGAGATTGGGCTTTTAACTTAATGATATGGTCGTTCGCTTCCATTTAATGAAATCCATTAGTTTGTGAGGAAATTTCTAGGAACTTGCCAGATAAAATGCCCATGAAGATAACGCTACAGAAAAGAAACACCACCTTCAACCATAATCAAGCCCAAATCTTTTGGGTTTGAGTTCTCGACTTATTACAAAATAATTATTTTACACATTACAATCATTTCAATGCACACATATTTGACAAATATGTTGTGAAAACACCGATTTTGTGAACATTCTGAATCCATAAAATATCCAAAGCCGGTTAGTTTGATATATTGAAGTAATGCATTTCAACAGCGCTGTTGAAATGCGTTCATGCCCTTCAGATTAATCGCATTTACAGACTTGTCTCGCCTTGAAAGTAGATTATACATTATACATTTTGTTTGTTAAAAGGAGCGCGCTAAGCGAAATTTACCCAGTCAAAAATGTGGAGCCCCGAGTCTTCTCCAAACTCTTGGTAATTCAAAGCAGTATCCAAGATCCCTTATTAATAACGCACGGAAGGGATGTCAGGCTACTAGCATAATCCAATGGCCATGCCAGAGAGCGCAAGTGAAACCTGAAGAGAATGAAGTGCCTGCATAGACAAAAACACAGTAGCCACGTAACTGCATTCGCTTTTTTCAAGGACTTGGCCCTTGCCAGAAAGCTAGGTTATTTCTGAAAGGGTTTGCTTAACTACTCATTTCTGCTGCAATTTTTTAATATAAGAGGAAAGATTATGCTCCCGCCATCCCATAATTATGCAGTTCTTTTTTAAAGCTAGTCAATGAAACCTAAGTCTAATCGGTTGAAGCATAATGTCCTTCTTGACATACTGATAAGCGAGTAAGAGTTGTTTGCAAATGCTACAGAAGAGGCCAGAAATTGCGTAAACCACTTTTAACCTCTCTCCAGGTACTAAGCTTGTTCCTGGCTCTTTTGCTGAGCTCCTTCAGTGCTGAGAGCTTTCAAAAGGAGGAGGAGGCAGGCGATCACAATAAGCTGCAGGCAGCATTTGATCGCATCTACCGTTTCGCCGTCTGGATGAAGCTAAACATTCAGAAAGTGTTTACTCCCCGAAGACGCCGATGTTGCTGTAGAAGTGGGTCAGTATTGTTAATGGCAAACAGAATGAGGAAATTTAAGCTTGACTTTACAGAAAATACCTTATAATGATGAAGGATGAGCCTTCACCATTTGAGAAAGTCATACTCAACACTTGAAGTTTCGCCTCAAATATATTGTCACCCTATCTGGCTTTAATGCTTTTGCCTAAAGCACAGTGTAATATAGACTCTTCATAGAGTTTTGCAAAACAAATCCTTATTTTGATTTATTTTTCTTCCATATAATATCCTTTGCTGTGCTCAGTTGTAAACTCTTGTTCAGCGAAATTTCATTGACCTTTAGGACATTAGTGTCTCATTCAATTTCTCGTCTAAACGACATCGCAGGGTTTGGGATAGTTAGTGATGGATTAAAATATTCCTACTCTGCAAAACGATTTGGACGCATCTATGGTCTCACAAAAATTGTTCAAAAGCATGTGGTTTCATTTGATAGCTAGAGCCCGGCTCCACTCAAAACTGTCAAATATATCATTGCTCAAACCTTATAAAAACTGGCATTTGGCACTTTAAGGTCTTACAAGTAGGGTGCGAGCAAATTTAATCCCATCTCATAGATCTCATATCATGGGTTGTCAACGCGAAATAAAATATCATCCTACAATTTTTCGCAGGTCCAAAAATATGAACCATATCGAGTATGGAACTCAGTTAAACCACTTGAAATCAGCTGCATCAAAGGATATTGAGGAGATCGATGTGGTTTTACAAAATCCTATCACTCTGCAGGATTCCCTGGCAGGTACTTGATTTTATCATTCGATATTTCTTCTAATTTAATCATTTTGGAGTGTGTTTAGCGCCTTGAGATTTCCTTGAAGATAAAAATGAAGACATGATACTAGAGCAGAGCATAGTTTGCCGACGTACGGAGGAGTTGGGGGTCTATTGGCGGAGCCTTATTTGCCCTCAAAACCAAACTGAGGGTTAAACAATCAAAGCATTACACGGCCCTTTGGAACCTTGATTTGAGCTTCATCTCCGGTGCTCCCCTCAGTCAACCTCCTGCGTCGGCTACCACAACGTAGTCGATGCCTTAGGAAAAGCATCCACGAACCGTTCACCCCAGCCATTGAAATTGCCAGCAACTAAGGATATATTTGACCGCAGCATCACTGATTCTCCTTGTCAATTCCACTGGATTTGAAGTTCTTCCCTGCCTTTTCACTGTGTAGGGGGGTAATGGGAGATGCGTTAGCCATCAAGTATGTCGATTGCTGGTCAAACGAACATTGGCCTAAAAGTAGAGCCATTTGGTAAATGATAAGAATTAGAGCAGTGTTGTAGGAATAAGGTGTCGCGCCTATTCCTCTTCGCTAATTTGTTCGTACTTCAGAGATGCCCACCCAAATCCATCCTATTATATCCAGCTATTAGAAGGTGGAGGAGGTATCTCGTGTTCACTTCATTGACATCTTTACACAGGTAATACACACAGCTCCATAACGAAATATTTCAGGTGATTAATGGTAAGCTCCGCTTAAGTTTTTAATAGATTTCCTGCAGAACACAGGATTGAGAACATTACCGACGGTAGACACCATTTTCACCCATTCTGATGGAGGCGCTCACCACTCCTTCCATCCGCAGCATATGCCCTTCTTCCGTCAACTTAGGGCTTAGCATTCAGCAATAGAAATCTAGGTAGATGCCCTTTAGTAATGCGTTCGCTTTTCTGTGCCACCACTGTTGTAACCTGAAGCTTCCCTGGTGGAGAAAGAAGACATAATACGAGGGCGACATATGTATTGCGGACGTACAGAAGGGCTGGGAGACTAACGGTATAGCCTGGAGACCATGTCGCCTAGCGGAAGTTGCCTTGGCACCATAACGAGCCCTTAAATAGATAATCAAAATATCACAAGTAGTCTAGTTTGAATGTTAAGTAAACATCAGCATGCTGTTTTGGTGAAGGCGATTGTTTGGTCTGATTTTTTGTTAAACAATTTCAGCACCGGAACTTAAATTCAAATCACGAAGTTGTGGACATTCACCAGAAAGTGTCCAAATTCTACGGAATGAGTGAGTTGCCCTTTTTTGGACTCCTAACTTGAACCAACTTGAAAAAAAAATATTCATCCCTGGAAGGTTTTTACGAGGATATAAACCTCTAATCGTCTTTTCTTGCCCGTTTAGCGACTTAGCAAAAAAGACGGAAACCGATTTTCCCAAATGAGTAAACTGATCAAATAACATCTGGAAACTTGTTTCTTTAAGTCTGTCATTTGTATGCAAGATTCCTATGGCAAAAAAAACGTCAAAATGGCTTATGCTTGTGTGTTAGCTTTAATCCCCGAATCGACTCCAACGACTCCATTTTTCAGTTCCCCCGGTACACCTGACCGAAAAACTTCAAGTTTTCCAATGGACATTCAGGAGATTGATGCTACCGATGGCAAAACAGAAGAGGCCGACGACGTAGAGGAGATCCTAGAGGCAGAGTCTGTGGATATGGCTTTTTGGGAGCATCCGGAGGATTGTTGTGCACCGTGGATTTGGAATCAGATCGGTCCTCTCTTCAAGAGCTGCCTGGACTCGAAAATGGGATCTGTGTGGCGACGCCTGCGACAAGTGTGCTACTACATTGTAGAAAATCGCTATTTTGAAAGCTTTATCTTCATAATGATAATTATCAGTAGTGGAACTCTAGTAAGTCACTCAATTTGTTTTATGAGACTACTAAATGATAATTGGTTGTTTTGAAGGTCAAGCATTTGATTGGCTGTGAAATAATCTAATACAACAACAGACACTCGACATTTTGGCCTCACAAAGTAAAAAAAGACTTTTTTCTAAAGATCTCATTGGGCGAGAACCGAAGGCGTTTCACCACCTACTGTGTAGTTGTTAAAGATGGTGCTATGCCCGGAACATGGTCAAATCAAGTGCCCGATCCTCCTACACCATTTTAATTTCTAAGGCTTTGAATAGTTCTTAAAGGAAATCATAGCCTAGAAGAAAAATTCGCTAAAATACATTGTGAAATAAACGCAACTCTCCATCGAAAGCCTGACGGTTTCATATCACACCACCTATCAAAAACGGCCTTGTAGACTAATTTCCAGCGTTTTCCAGTTTAGGACATCAGCGGCTTTATAAATCAGCCCTTTAAAGCATTTCAAAACCCCAAATTTTGGTTGAATTGTTGACTGTAGACAAGCTCGTTTATTAGATATATCAGTATATTCCTGAACTCCAGAGGAGGTGCCAGTTTTCCCACCTAAAATATTCCAATTTAGGCACTCGAAGACAAGAACCTCCCCTCCAGACCGCGACTGAAGATGGCACTGGACTATATGGACAAGTTGTTCACCTTCATCTTTCTGATGGAGATCATTCTCAAGTGGTTTGCCTATGGTCTACGCAAATTTTTCAGTGATGCCTGGTGTTGGCTCGACTTCACCATTGTCACGGCAAGTAGCGGTTTAACTTTTCAACGCAGTGGAAGTTACCACTCTTCCACTTTCAAGATAAAGAAGAACAGGGATTTAGGAAGTGGCTTGATGCTTTAAGCTACAAGGCGTATTTTAGGGTAACATAACATGCCAGTGAGCATTTCAAAGCTATATGAGGCTATTTTAAGCGGCTTTTATGAATTTAAGTGTGGCATTGTCTTTGAGGTTTACAGAATCTCACTTGCCAAGCTACTCCGGAGACTCAAAATGAGGCTTTTTACACTGCGACCTTAAAGTGCAATCCTGTGTTGACCGGATGTTTTCCTTTTAACCCCATTTGATTTACTTTGCGCCCTTAAATCAGTCTAAACTGTTTCGCCAAGCCTACTTACCACCTCATGGCCCGTAGATTAAATGAGAAAAGAGTTTTTTGCTTTCAAATTTTCTACTTGTAATATACAAAGATTGCTGCCAGTTAAAAGTTTCATGTTCAAATGAAGCCCTTTACCCGTCTCTACTGGTGATGTAAAGAGGGTTGAAGGGCTTATGTCAGGTCTACTCTGCCTTATGGAGAATTTGTAAGGATTTTTTTTCTTCTACTGTCCATATCACAGATTGCTGTTACAAGTATGATATTGAGCTATGGGAAGGAGGATGGAAAATCGAGTATGAATTCCTTCAAGGCGATGCGAACACTACGAGCTCTGCGTCCGCTGAGGGCTCTCTCACGATGGGAGGGAATGCGGGTAGGTCTTTGCAAGGAAGATTTTAAATTCGTCTTCCACTCCCTTAAAATACTCTAATGCTACTTGTTATTTACCTTAGATTGTGGTGAATGCATTGTTACAAGCAATTCCCTCCATTTGCAACGTTGTCTTGGTCTGTTTTGTATTTTGGCTCATATGCTCCATCATGGGAATGCAATTATTCGGTAAGGGTCTTGTATTAGACTAAATTAAGGATGATTACAATTTTTTTCTCTTCTCGTAGCTTAGATTGTCTTTCATTTACTGCTTTTATCACTTTCGGCCAATCGCTTACATGCATATATGCCGCTCCGAGGCTTCCCTGAAGTCCTGGTAGTGTGGCTAGAGATATAATACTGACATACAGAAGGTCTGCGAGTCTGCTGGCCTACTACCGAGCAGAAGCACAATCTGGAGAGATCTAAGTGCCTGTATGATCAGACACAGAGCATTGCATAGTCCCTCTCTTCCCTTGGGCGTCGTCTCCAGTGCTCTCCACGGTCATCAAAGTAGTAGACGCTTTAAAAGTACCCACGAATTAGCCGCATCAGTCATCGAATTTGCACACAACTGAGGGGACATTTGACTTCAACATCAGAAGGTGTTTTGGTAATTCCACTGGATCTGGAGTTTCGTCCTGTTTTGGAACTGTGTCGGGGAACGGAGGGAGATGCGCTGTTCTCTTACTACTGGGGACGGGATGATGCTTTACACCTCAACCATCTCATACGCCCATCGCCATTTAATAAAAATCGAGGCTTAAAATTGTTGCGCCTATTCCTCCTTGCTGCGTTGTTCCCACTTCAGTGCTCCCCAGTCATGCATCCATTTGGTTCAATTCGGCTGGTAGAGAGGTGGAGGAGGTGTGACGTATTCATTCAGCTGACATCTTCATGTGGGTATCGTAGACAGCTCCGCAACGAACTTTTCCTGCTGGTTCACAGTTAGCGTTGCTTCAGTTGTTTATAGCATTCTTGCAGACCACGGAACTGGAGTAGATGGCAAAAGTCGACGTCATTTTCAGCCCTTCTGCTAGCTGTCGTCACCGATGCAGCATATGTCCTTCTTCTGTCATGTTAAGATTTACCATTTAGGGATGGAAATCAGGATAGTTGTCGTTTAGGATCGGGTCCACTTGTCCCTGCCATTACTGCAGCGAAGTTGGAAGATGGCATAACGCGAGAGCAGAATATGTATTGCCGACGTAGAGAGGGGCTTGGGAGCTACTATCATAGCCCGGAGGTTATGCCACCGAGGGGAAGTTCAATCTGCGGAGACTTAGGCGCAGAGTAAAACAACCTCTCAGAGCATTACACAAAAAAGTGTAGTGATATTAAGATGATGTCAAACAACTCTGACCTTTTATAAATAAGAGGAATCCAGGCCGCATAAAATCTCTTCTCTAACGAGAGTGGGCGTTCCTGTTATTGCGGAAGCCTCATGATTATTTCTAAGTCACAAAATGACCGCAACCTTGCATAATGCCTTCTGTGAATTAAATAGGAGAAGAAAGTCGAAGTGAATTCCTGTGATACCTATTTCCCCAGAAAACTGAATGCTTCTTTGTGTAGGTGGGAAATTTAGGAAGTGTGTCAGTGAGGCGACCGGAGAACGACTACCAGCAGATCAGTATCCCAATCGCACGGTGTGTGAACTTCACAAGAAGCTCTACAAAAATGTCAGTTGGGATAACTCCAAAATCAACTTTGACAATGTGCCCAACGGTTTCCTTGCTCTGTTGCAAGTGGTAAGTTCCATGTCCACGCTTTCATGCTCCTCCCTCCTACCCCCCGATAATGCCTACAGGGATGAAACTCGCCCATCATCGTCAACATAGTCAAGTCATTTACAGCCTGGATGTATCAAATTTTTATATCATATTTTAAAAATTCCCTTAAAATTTTTTCAAAAGAGGTTTTACTACTATTTGAAGCCCTCCCTTTCCCAAATAAGTGAGGATTTGTTGCCCACCGTTGTAGGCCACATTCAAGGGATGGATTGAGATCATGTCCGACGCCGTTGACATAACCGATGTGAGTGTTGCAACACACTATTCACATGTCATTTGTTTTGTTCCCTTTTTTAGAAGGGGGAAAATACAAATTCTTTGCCTTTACCACTTTCAGTATGATCAACAACCGGTGTACAATAACGCCACCTCCTACTACCTCTTTTTCGTCCTCTTCATCATTGTAGGATCGTTTTTCACACTCAACCTCTTCATTGGTGTCATTATCCAGAATTTTAATATGCAGAAAAAGAAGGTAAAGTCAGTCGCTTTGTTGTCCGCAGATTGCACTAATCCTTTGTTTGACTGGTGTCAGTGGAGACGGTTTGTAGTAATGGGGGATATTTCAAGGTCCATAACATTGCCACAGCTCTAAAAACGCCTCCTTATTATTCCTCCCATACGGATACTTTTTTTCTAACATTAATTGTAAATAGGCAGAAATATCCTTGTAATTGATGCATATCATTCGCAAAGAACTGACAACCCGTGGGATCTAACCACTTATAAATTTCACCCTTTTTTCAGGTTGGAGGATCCCTAGAATTGTTTATGACGGAGGATCAGAAAAAGTACTACCATGCTATGAAAAAGATGGTCAGAAGAACTCCACAAAAGCCTATTCCAAAGCCAAAGGTGAAATTGGACTTTTTTAATTTGATCTATACTACTTACTACTGGATTAAGCAATTGTTCAAACGATATGATAGCTCGTCGAGTGATACACAAAGGTGAAATATTTTGACGTACTGTGAAGCATTTTTAAAAGTTAATTTGGCTAATACAAAACGCTCATTAAAATGGAAGGCCTTCTTTGCTGAAATTACTGCTTCAAAGTCCTTCTCGAAGAAGCTGGAAGTGCTGCGTGTGTCATGGACGGGACGGTAACCGAAATCTCGGAGATTGATGTGTCTGTGGAGAAAAAGTGCCCAGCTTTGGCTGCTTCCCTTATTTCGAAAGTGCTTGTTTTGTCTGTAATGAAGCTTGTAGACAAATAATATTTTTTTTGGTTTTTGTGTTACCTCCAACGGCATAGTAAACGGGTTTCACAAAGGAGTGAGGTGGAAAACTCAACAAACGTCACATTTTTGTTTATTCCTCTTTTATGAAAACCAAGAATCACGAAACCTGTTTTGGAGTATAGGTTTGCAGTGAATTTGTCTCTCCATTGAGGTACGTTTGCCGCACTTTATTCGTATTAAACGTACATCAGATATTGCCACAGTTAGAAATTTTAACTGATGAGTTTTTTGAGATCCCTTGTGAATCCCACCCGTTGCACACATTGCAGTCACAAAAGATCCCCGTTTTTGAGTTTTGTAAATAATTCTGGAAATCTGCAGCATCTTTGGCTCCATGAGATCGCCAAAATCCTGTTGTCGTTGTTACGCCGATGCAAGGCATCAGCTAAACCATCTTCTGCTTTATGACGTCAAATGACTTGAAAGCAAAGTCTAAATATGTTTTTTCGCTAACTTGCAAGAATTACTCTCGTTTTTTATTCCATTATACAAACAATTTTTTCGAAAGATACAGAGTTGGGTGAAATTGAGAAGACTTATGTGCTTCTACTGATATGCAATTCAGTAGGAAAAGGAGCTTGTCGCAGAGCTCCAAAGAATTAATGCAAGAATTTTCACGACACCATCATCCAATTTTGACTGAATAAGTTATCTAACACCACACTTTTTCACAAAATCAACCCCTATCATTGGAGTCGAGAAAACGTTCGGGAGCATACAGAACACTTTGGCGTGAAGGGCGGTTAATCGCTGTTTTCATTTTGCCATTACTGGATGAATGTTTTGCTATGCGCTGCAGTTCTGGATGTCAAAGTGGATCTTCAAGGTGATCTCCAACCGCAATTTTGACCTCTTCATTCTGGGAATGATTGGACTTAACACCCTCATCATGTGCTTCGAGCATCATCACCAGCCAGAGTGGATGAAACAGACAATGGAGATTGTCAATAAGATGTTTATCATTATCTTTACGTGCGAATTCATTCTCAAGCTCATCGGTCAACGCTGGTACTACTTTAAAGACCCCTGGAATATTTTTGACTGCTGCATTGTTATATTCTCACTCGTTTGTAAGTTCCCTTTCTTTTGTTGCTAAAAAAGGCTCTTCACTTCCCCTTAAGCCATATAACGCATTCTTCTGTCACGCTTGGATCTTATCTAAGTTTTTTTTTCAATTCGGATCTTTAGGTTGGGGACTGGAGGACCTGATGACCACGCTGCCCGTTCCGCCAACAACAATTCGAATTGTGCGCCTCTTCCGGGTGGGTCGAGTGCTGCGATTGGTAAAATCGGCCCGTGGGATTCGCACCCTCCTCTTTGCACTGATCGTGTCACTACCGGCACTTTTTAATGTGGCTCTTCTCCTCTTTCTCACTGCTTTTGTCTACTCCATCGTTGGCATGTCCTTCTTCGGGAAGGTAGCCTACTATGCGGGAATTGATGCAGAATTTAACTTTGAAACATTCCCACAGGCCTTCATCATCCTGTTGCAGATATCAACCTCTGCGGGTAACTGTTCTTGATTAGTGTCTAGGGCAAATTTTAACCACCTTAATAGGTTGGAGTAGTGTATTCGAGGGCTTGAGCAACACAGATCCCGCCTACTGCAGTCAGGAGGAGGGAACGTGTGGCAGTTTCCTCTGGGCGACATTATTCCTCGTCTCTTACCTCGTAATCTCCTTCATGGTCATCATCAACATGTACATTGCTGTCATCTTGGAAAATTTCAGTCAGGCTACTGAGGACGTTCAACAGGGCCTAACACAGGTGGGTTGCATGCAAATTGAAGCTCTAGTAGGAAAACAACCAGGCATTGCCCGAATACTTACCTAGACATCTCTGGTATCCACCGTTTACTCCTCAGATCGCAACTTTTCATTAATACTCAAACTTAACGGTTTTCCATCCATATTAGGACGAGTTCGACGCATTCTATGAAGTCTGGGAACTGTACGACGTCCACGCACTCGGCTTCATCGAGCTTCAACACCTGGAGGAATTTGTTGAACGCATCGGTCCCCCATTGGGTATCCCTCGACCCAACCGAATCCGCTTAGCCTGCCTCTCTGTTCAAATCTGTTCTCAAGATCGCATTTTCTGTATGGACCTGCTGGACGCTCTCACCCGCAATTTCCTTGGCCGTCTCACCACGGAACATCCCGAGACCCTGGTTGAACAAGTTGAAGTGGGCAGCTCGCAGAACCAGGATGGAACCATTGATAGGATCAACTTTGTAGCCAAGGCGGCAAAGGAACCAGCTGTGCCTATAAGCAACACATATGAGCGACAGCGCGAACGCATGGCTGCCTACAAGATTCTCTACTTCTGGCGCAGTAGACGGAAGTCGTCGGAGAGTTGCGTCAGAGTTGAGGAAACAGATTCGTGAAAAGAGCTAGCTGTCCATTCCCATCCATTTTGCTCTTACCCATATCCCCTTTTTATTCACACTATATGAGGTTGCATATCCCATCGGCACCATGAATGGTAAATACAAGTGTGATTTACTGATGATTTAATTATTCTAAACCGCTGAGGCAGCAGATGAGGGTTCTGGAAGTTCACCAATTGCACTGAGGTTCCAGTGCTACACAAAAGGTAAATATGGTTGCATCGTGATTTTAGTCAATATACAACATTACGCATCCGACAGCAATGTAAAAGGAAAAGTAAAGTGCTACTTTATTGTTTCTGAAAGCTGCTTCCAAATGGCGTAGTTAACAGCTACCGAAGGAGTCATAGCCTGTGTTGCAGCCTGGGCAATTTTCATGGCCTCCATAGATCCACCAAGGGGCTGAAAAGCAGCAAAAAACGTCATCAGGACGAAAAGACGTTGAGATGAAATAGAAAAAAATAACACACATGCAAATTATCGACACCGAAAGCTGCTTCACAATTATGAGGCTGCTTGAGGAGACACCTAATCCTGCCGCCACTTGCAGGAGATGTTGTCGGATTGTCCTTAAGAATGGAAGATGCAGAAGTGTCCAGAACAACATGAGTATTGTCAAGAAGCGACAGATCACCTAATCGACTGTTCATCCACTTTTCAATCAATCTGCGTTGAAGTAAGAGCAAACAGAGGGTTGTGATCGACTGCCAAAAGGCCAGAAAAAAACAGTCCACTTCGATGCTTACGTGTTAACATCCGCCTCTGGACTGGGTGATTGCTGTACATTGGTTGTGGTGTTTGCTTCCCGCTGTGAAACATCAAGTTTTTCTTTCTCAATATCTCTTAGATGTATTGCTTCCTCTAAGAATTCGCGTTTCTTCACCATTATGCTTGTCAGATGATTGACTTTGAAATCTAATCGGTTTTTGAGCTAAAAACACAACAGGCATCAAAAAGCATAAAAGTTGTCCTTGAATCACCACTGACCAACGCGATCAAAAAGGATGCGTAAATAACAAAAAAAGGTGAAAAATGTCACTTGCTTCCTCGTAGAATAAAGGAACATCACCATCGTTATAACCAGCATCTTTTAATTTTTCGAGCACACGTTGACGCATAGTCTAAAAAATAAGAAATGCATGCAAAACAAAACTAATGAAATACTCTTATCCTTTCGCGAAGGTCGTCGATTCTGCGTGTATATTCATCGACCTGCTTTTGTTCTACAAAAAAGTTAAAAACAGACAAGGAGCACACAACGAACTTTGTGATAAACTCTCAAATATCTTTGCTGTATCAGGTAGGTGGGTGGTAGGAGGATCTTCAACCGTGAAATCTGCTAAATAAGGTGGTAAAAATTGAAAAAATACCATTTTCATCGATTGATTGAATAAGCATCGAGATAGCGTCTGATGAAGCAGCTGACACCAGAATATCATTCAACTTGTCAATTCGCGAGGTGGTTAAAGTCGGCATCTAGAAAGATAATAACGTTACGACGCCGATTACGCAAAAATTCAACTTGCATCGAAATTGTTAGCAAAATATGGGAGATTTTCCTACCAAATTAGAGCTATGGACTGCCCTAAGGTACAGAGACAGCGTAATATTCATCAAAATCCTATTCTAAAAAATTCGAAAATTCCAATTTTCGTGAAGCCGCCGAGTGTAAGTCCAAATCCTAGTGCCTAACAAGTGCAACGAGATTGTTGGAAACAAGACTTAACAAACGTTAAACTCAGCGGCTTAAATTTCCAAAAACGCCACACAATAATCCTAAGACTTTAGGCAGAAAATCGACATAGGAATGTGGGGGTAGGGGAGCCACAGAAAAACGACACAGGCTAAAGATACCGAAATGGCAAGTGACATATACACACCAAAAAACTCAAGGCTCTTTGTGTTAAAATGCGCGTTAGGCAATATCAAAACAAGTCGGTAGAACAAGCAATAAGCGCCAGGAAAACCCTTCCTAGCAAGTAACAAAATATAAGATTTACTATAAGTTTTGCAATTAAATTTTTTAAAACTTATTATTGCCTTCTAAAATCTGTTTTTTTTAAGTTTACCATACTATTAATAAACCAAAATCATTGCCATGAAAGCAGAAATAATACATAGCTGTGTAATACTATGTTGGTTAATTTCACGGCATTGGTAAGGCATTACTTTTGGACCTTGGCATTTGTCTTCTTGTATTACGCTGGGTAGTCTGGCCTTTGGGACTTGCTAGTACCTTAAACACCTTCTCTGTGCAGAATGTATATTCTACGCATGTATTGTGTCTTCTTTTGTCTTCAGAAAAGTCTCGGGATGCTACATTCGTAGCAGCGGGCAGCAAACCCGATCATAAAGGACATGTATCCTAGTTTTCCACTTCTACGTGATAAACCTCAGTGGACAGGAAGAAGTACATATGCTACGGATGTTAGAATGGTGATAACCCCTAATAGAAGGCTTAAAGTTGGCATCTATCCCAGTCCTGTGTTTTACTGAAGAGCTGTTAACAACTGAAGCGACACTAGCCGTGAACCATCTGGAAGTTTCGTTACGGACTTTGCCTACCGTCCCCCATGGACCTGTTTTGAATCCCATCCTTCCTTACACAAATCTACTTTTAGGCCGGTGTTCCTACATCCACGTATGGACACGCATGATAGCCAGCGCAGTTGCCCCTCTTGAATCAGGTTCCTAAGCCAGACGAAACTCCAGATCTAGTTAAGCTGCCAAGAGGGATCAGTGACGTTGAGGTTAAGTATCTCCTGAGTTGCACGCTAATTTGGTGACTGGCACGGTCGGCTCGAGGGTGTTTCTCTGCAGCACTGGCTACGTTGTAATAGCTGAAGCAGGAGGTCAACCTGTGGGAGTGCCGGGGACGATGCTCAAAAGAGGAGGGAGGATATGTAATGCGACGGTGGTTTATCCCTCGGGATTGCTGAGCCACCACTTTTGTACTTTGAATTAACCTTCTTGTGCCTTGCTGGGTGGCTGGCCTTTGGGCCATGCTAGTATCCCAAACACCTTCTCTACGCTGAATATATATATTCTGCCCTACTATTGTGTCTTCTTTCGTCTTCAGGAAGTCTCGGGACGCTATAGTATCGTTGTACTGCATTAAAATGAGGCCAATGT